AAGATGAAATGGATCAATTTATAGATGCCGGAAAATTGTAAGGTAAGGGAACCAGTCTACGGTAGCTGGCCTGCACTCGTTCATGAACATGTAACCAATAGCAAACACAGCTTGAACTGAAACAAATGGTAAGAGCAGTAATTGAACAATAGTTAGGTTTTTCCAACGGTGGTCGGCCGACCACCGTTGGAAATGTATACAAAAATACCATTTTCTTGAAAATGACTTCACACCAGGTGCCGTAATTTTACAGAATGCTAAGTGACTGTCACTTACCAACATCCTAGTAACTTCGTAAGGTACATGTATTTCATAAAAACTTGGTAGTTTTATTTTTCGATGTTTGTAAATGTTGTATATTCCCTTTAAACTCACCTGCACCTTTCAAACAATTTTTGTATCCCAATTTGGTATTGGGCAGAGTGCCAGTCCCATTCATGGGCCACATAAAGCACAGTTGGGACCAGGGCTTTATGTTACCGTTTTTGGGGTTTTTTTAACGTCAATCATTATTTACCAGAATTTGAGTGTGACAATATTTTGCTTTATAAATGAGAGTCAACATGTATATGTATACATACATTGTACATTATAATTTGACACATGTACCTGCTATGTACGGTACATAAAGTTCAATGGTGGGACAACACACTTTCAAGCCGCACTGTGAACATTGTGAATGGTGGAAGAGCATGTTTGAACATTAGGTCGTTGTTTGAAATGTACACGTACCAATGCCAATTTTTCATGTGTTTGCTTAAAAAAAAAATGCAACAGCAGCCAAAGCATTTGCCAAAGCATTTGCGGTTGCTACTATTTTTGTCAGTTTTTTGCGTGGCATCGCGTAGCTGCAATCGGCTGAATGAGAACATGTCCCAGACGCTGATTTTGGGCACAATTCAAAACATGACTCGACAACTCACACCATTCATCCTCGATCCTCAAAATTCCTCCCAAACCGCCATGAGGATTTTGGAGGATTGAGGCGGGTAAGGGTTAATGTCAAACTTTCTGACGCCCAAAAATTGTGAACTGAAAAAAACCCAGATTTTGTCAGATTCTCATACTCCATACAAGTACCGGTACATGAACACCAGTGGAAAGCTAACACAGGTAAATTAGCACAATATTCCAATGCACCCAAAATCCCAGGTTTCAAAAATTGTTCGAAGCGACTGTTTTTTGTCCTGGGAGTGTCACATGCTGTTTCACATTGTTGAACCTGCAGGTTTTGGGGTTTTTGGGGGGGGGGGGGTTTGGGGGGGAGGGTGTTGGGGATGCGTATTAATAAACACATTATGTGTACGTACATGAAGTACATTTTTACAATGTATAATAACAAGCATTCCTGATCATCAAAATTCCCAGTTTTCAAAAATTGTTCGAAGTGACTGTTTTTTGTCCTGGGGGTGTCGCATGCTGTTTCACATTGTTGAACCTGCATTTTTTTTTTGGGGGGGGGGGGGGGTGTTGGGGGTGCGTATTAATATACACATTATGTGTACACCTGAAGTACATTTTTACAATGTATACATGTAATAACAAGCATTCCTGATCATCAAATTTCCCAGTTTTCAAAAATTGTTCGAAGTGACTGTTTTTTGTCCTGGGGGTGTCGCATGCTGTTTCACACTGTTGAACCTGCATTTTTTTGGGGGGGGGAGGGGGGGGGGTGTTGGGGGTGCGTATTAATATATATACACATTATTATATATTTTACAATGTATAAATGTAATAACAAGCATTCCAAATCATCAAATTTCCCAGTTTTCAAAAATTGTTCGAAGTGACTGTTTTTTGTCCTGGGGGTGTCGCATGCTGTTTCACATTGTTGAACCTGCAGGGGTTTTTTTTTGGGGGGGGGGGGGGGGGTGTTGGGGGTGCGTATTAATACACGTTATGTGTACACCTGAAGTACATTTTTACAATGTATACATGTAATAACAAGCATTCCTGAACATCAGGAAATGCAAATTCACGACTTGCATGTATCACAACTTTTGTCATGTTTGTCTGACTTTTTGTTGTTGTACTTTTGACTGGATTGCGTGGGGCTGTCTTGTGAGTTCAATCCCGGGGGTTTAATCCTCCCACACATGCATCTGGGAAAAAATCTTCAAGTGTTATCTTTTCCCCTGATGAATATTCTGGCACAATTGTTTTTCACTGTGGTACAGCGCTGAAATGGAATTTTCCCTGTGGGTCCATACATGTATAATAACAAATTGCCACAAGAAAGAGAAAGAGAAAAACTGTAACGAGTCGTGGCAGACTCATTTTTAAAAAAGTGGAAAACATTTGCAAACAATCAAAGATGAAACAGCCAAAACATTATGAAGTACTGGTATCCCACATGATAGCAAAATGTACATTTGTTTTTTGGTTACATTTCCATAAATATATTTCCAAAAATGTTTCACTTCAGTTTGAATTAAAATGTGTCCCTTGCTTCAATAGTTCCAGAATGTTAGCATGCACCAACTAAAAAGGTTCAGTTTTTAGTTTAAATTAACAAAAAAAGGACTGAGCCTTCACACTGCCGGGAGTCCAGTACCCTGTAGGTTGGCTATGGGCCTGTACAATGTACATGTACATGTCAAAATGGCATACATGTATGTGCGCACTGCGCAGAGAATTTTTAGTCCAGGTTCGCAGATGTTTTCTACTCTTTTGCGGCCATGGCCTCTATTAGAACATTGCACATACTAGGTCTGTACCGGTACATATTGACGACTCATATTTCTCCCTTGAGAGCACATGTCTGACATTCATTTGGTTATGGTGTACATGTAGCAGTGACTAATACTAGCCCTAGATGTGCAATGTTGAAACAAAGTTGATGTGACTTTGCGATTTATATCACTTTACTAAGTTGCCCATTAGTTCCTCTACTGCCCCTCACTCCCCTGTCGCTGTCAGTTACTCCTTTAAAGGGAATGTACATCATTGGCTTTTGCTGTAATTTTCAGAAATGAACTATTTGAGGGGATCGGCCTAGATCAAATATTGTTTAACTGACATGTTTTGAAGTTTTGTGTTTCGAAAATGCTTGAAAAACCAAGAAAAACAAAAAAATTTAAGAAGTCTGGTTCCCTGACTCCACTAAAGATAAAATGGATCAATTTATAGTTGTTGGAAAATTGTAAGGTAAGGGAACCAGTCTAGCTTGCCTGCACCCGTTCACGAACATGTAACCAATAGCAAACAAAATTTGGACTGAAAATTGTAAATTTTGAGCAGTACCGGTAGTTGAAAAATAGTTAGGTTTTTCCAACGGTGGTCGGCTGACCACCGTTGGAAATGTATACAACAATACAAGTTTCTTGAAAATGACTTGACACCAGGTGCCATAATTTTACAGGATGCCTTAGACTGTCATTTACCAACATCCTAGTAAGGTATTTCGTAAAAACTTGGTAGTTTTATTTTTCGATGTTTGCAAATGTTGTAAAAAAATTTCCCTTTCATTCATGTCCAAACTAAATCTCCCCAGCGCTGCAGATGATTTTATGGATGCATCCAGAGAAAAATACAGTGTATCTTAACCTGACACAAGTACTGGGGGAGGGGGGGTGGTCCTGCCCCAGCACCAGCAGTGACCGAAAATGTTCTCAAATTGTCATTTTTCACTCGAGAGAGCATTTCTGCCCCGCCCCCCCCCCTACACCCTTGCCCCCCTGGTAGTTACCTCCTTGGATGCGCCCTTGTACAATGTATGGTGAAGAATTACAGACACCTTGATCATGTGTACACACATGCCTATGAAGGTAAAATGTACTGGAAGCTTTATTAAAGTCAACCCTGCCGACATTCTTTGTAAGTTCTTTAACTACCGTACATGTATTGAGGGTCTCGTTAACTGCGTCTGGGTTGTTTCATTCGCAGTCTTGCAAAAATCCTCCAAATACAAACCACTTGATGGCTATTGAAGGACCTTTTAATTAAACGACCTGGGAGGATACTTGCCTCCCCAAATCATTCAAAATTCACAACATAGATTTAGAGCATACCCATTCAAACTTGGTACTGTACATGTACTGGTACAAGGCACAGAGTGTGCCAAATGTTGGGTTCTTACACCTACCGGTAGAGATGCTGCAGGATTGACAAAGGTACCATGTTCATGTACATAAACCCAGCTATTTTTGGGGGGGGGGGGGCTTGATTCTATTTAGAAAAAGAAGCAGTCTCCGGACAATGACTAGAGCAGGCTAGTCGAAACGTTGAGACCAAATACAAGTTCTTTTAGAACTCAAAGCAGGACTGTTCTTATCAGAACTAAAATCTAACCTGGCTTCTAAAACACTTGCCAGCTGCTCTACACTGGTGAACATTTCAGACCTGGTCGGGACAAGGTTGAGATGCTCTTCCTGGATAGAAATTGAACATTACTACTGAAAGCCAGACTGTGTGAATGCTTGCTGACCAGTGTTCAAACTGACCTGGGACTGCCTATGGTGGATCCGTGTTGATTTTAACATGGGTAGGCAACATGGGAGGGGGCCTAGCAGTCGAGTTCATGACTCATGTTTAGAAGATAAGGGGTTAAGTCCAGCTGCTGGACATGTGTCCTTGGGCAAGCCACTGCACCCCACTTTGCCTCTCTGTACTCAGGAGTACAAATGGGTACTGGCATTAGCTGGGGAGTAACCTGCAGTGGACTGGCATTCCATCCAGGGTGAATATTCTCAGTCATTTCATGCCACTGAAACTAAAGATAAACGTCATTTCCTACAGACCAGCCATGCGCCATCGTCATTTTGATCGTCAACTTGCATAATGTGCATCGGCTGCGTCGTATTTCGAACATGTTTCGAGCAACAAGCGGACCTGTTTGGAACATTTTCAACACTGCGCAATGAGTGCTTGATTGCGTAAAATACACAGCTGCTGTTCTCCTACAGAGATGGCCGTCTTTGAGAGATAAGCTTGTGACAGACTTTACGTTTTTACTAGGTACCGTAAGATGATAGTACGACACTTGGCATTTTGCAACTTACCGATTCTATTTCCTGATCCCGTCCGGTGGGGGCCCAGGGGCGACTTGGCCATGCCGTCCGTGTCATTAGACTGAAAGCTAGTTGGGGAGGACACGTCCACTTGGACAGGCAGCTGGCTCACATCATCTATCTCACCGACTTCCATTCTTTAAGTTTTATTCTTTGTCTTGACAAGGCCTTTTGGTGCAACAAAAATCTTGATGATTCCAGGGGAAAAAACCTATGAGAGAGCAGTGTGTGTCATAAGAAATTAATCTCCACAGGAGTTTTTGAAGTGTGCTACTTATAGCGGTAAACGCACAGGGACGACGTCTTTAGCAAGATCCCAAACAACCGGCCCGAAAGCATCCGAAAGAAACTGTGATCCATATTTCCATTGTTTTTGGAGTCTATAGGATGCATGTAGGTTGGGTTGCTGTGCGTCCCCAGTGGGCTGTCACGTTTGGCTTAGCGGTATGCTCTAGTCCTGTGTAGAGACAAAGATAAACTCATTTAGTGTAAAATGGAAACATACGTACATGTACGGTAAGGTAGCACTTTAAATGACTAACTCGAGTGAAAGCGTGCATAAGTTTTCGTGGCGCAATTCTTCATCAGATGCGATGAAGAGGATAGCCTTGACCAAGGCTATCTACTTGTTCCCTTAACAAGCGAGCGGCCACTACCGTACAGCTTAGACTGATATGTCCGGTACCTGTTGTACTCTAATGGCCATGGCACAGCGCCGCGCACACTGGCTTCAGTTATCCCTTGCTTGTCCCTGATGCAATGAAGAGGGTAGCCTTGACCAAGGCTGTCTACTAGTTCCCTTAACAAGCGAGCGGCCACTACCGTACAGCTTAGGCTGATATGTCCGGTACCTGTTGTACTGTACAATGTACTTGCCATGGCATAGCGCTGCGCACACTGGCTTCAGTTATCCCTTGCTTGTCCCTGATGCAATGAAGAGGGTAGCCTTGACCAAGGCTGTCTACTAGTTCCCTTAACAAGCGAGTGGCCACTACCGTACAGCTTAGGCTGATATGTCCGGTACCTGTTGTACTGTACTTGCCATGGTACAGCGCCGTGCACACTGGCTTCAGTTAGCCCTTGCTTGTCCCTAATGCAATGAAGAGGGTAGCCTTGACCAAGGCTGTCTACTAGTTCCCTTAACAAGCGAGTGGCTACTACCGTACAGCTTAGGCTGATATGTCCGGTACCTGTTGTACTGTACTTGCCATGGCACAGTGCCGCGCACACTGGCTTCAGTTAGCCCTTGCTTGTCCCTAATGCAATGAAGAGGGTAGCCTTGACCAAGGCTGTCTACTAGTTCCCTTAACAAGCGAGTGGCTACTACCGTACAGCTTAGGCTGATATGTCCGGTACCTGTTGTACTGTACTAGCCATGGCACAGCGCCGCGCACACTGGCTTCAGTTAGCCCTTGCTTGTCCCTAATGCAATGAAGAGGGTAGCCTTGACCAAGGCTGTCTACTAGTTCCCTTAACAAGCGAGTGGCTACTACCGTACAGCTTAGGCTGATATGTCCGGTACCTGTTGTACTGTACTTGCCATGGCACAGTGCCGCGCACACTAGCCTCAGTTATCCCCTTGCTTGTCTGCATAGGTCCTAGATACATTCGCACCACATACGTACAGTAATCATATTTGTAGTGAAAGACAGCCTTGATGCAACGGTACATCCTCACTATGATAATTCGTACGGGCTATGGTAAACAGTCTTCTCTGGTTAGCTAACCCTAACCCCCTAGTAGTTCCTCTGACAGGACTACCCTGCTCAATCCCACAGAGTCCAACCAGAGTTTCCTGCTCAATCCATTGTGCCTCATTTTCAGTTGTCTGCTGAATCCAACAGAGTCCAACATGGCGTTATAATGTGGTTCATATGCCGGCTCGGCGAGTCGGTTACTTGGGCCAGGCTCGAGTAAGCGCGAGAAGTCACGTGAGAGGTAAATTGAATGCTGTCGCGCTTGCACAAGTAAGCGCGGGGGAAGTAATCAAACGCACTCAACGTACAAATTAGGTCAACAGAGGAATCCAAGATTGTTGACGTACATTTGTAAAATACGTTGCTGTGATTCAAAAATGCATTTTACAATCTGTTACTTTTAAGGATGTGAAGTCTGGACACGTTTATAAGGAAAAAAAACATTCTAAGTCCGTTTACAAATTTTCCAAAATGAAAATCCGAACTACAAAACCTGAATTACAATCTTCCTTTGACTTGTAAGAAGCATCGTACATCGCACAAACAATTAACAATGTTTTTATTTTATACTTGATTTACAAAACAGAAGTACCACAGTGCTTGATTACATTTGGGTTACACGTGGTTACGTTTGTACTTTTTCAATGACTAATAGTGGATATTTATAAAGCGCACGTATCCACCAGGACTGGTGCTCAAGGCGCTACATCATTATTACCCCTGCTCATTGGGCACATGAAACAATCCAATACCATACTCAGCTCCCTGGGGAGTATACAGCTCGATGCAGCCTGTTAGGCGCAAGGAAGCTAATTCACAATAACCATCTCTGCCCTCACAAGTACCCATTTACACCTGGGTGGAGAGAAGCAATGAGTGACAAAGTGCCTTGCCCAAGGGCACACGCACCATGACCCCGCCAGGACTCGAACCCACAACCTGCAGCTTTACCCGCAGACCACGAATCAGTGCTCTTAACCACGAGGCCACAGCACTCCACTAACTGGATTGACTGACTGGATTGACATCTTTTGGGGGGGGGGGGGTAGGGGCACTGCACACACTGTTAACATCCTAACCCTGCTGAATCCAACAGGATTCAACTATATACCCGATGGAGCCTGTTGGATTGAGCAGTAGACCCGTTGTGTACATTCCTCGTGCAAAATGTTGGATTAATTTCAGCAGGCAACTGAAATGCATTTTAACGCCAAGTTGGACTCTGTGGGATTCAGTAAGGCACAGTGGATTGAGCAGGAAACTCCGGTTGGACTCTGTTAGGGAAAGATTTCCATATACGAAGTTCACTCAACACCCCGTGTACAAACCCTATGAGATTGGACTGAAAAATTCTAAGTGTTTTTTAAGAAAATGCTTGTATTTTCTCACTGCTCAAAATGACTTTGATGACATGAAATTGCTATCTGGGGGCTTGTTAGTCAATACAGAGGAAAATTAGTGAACTTCGTATATCTTTCCATAATCCAGGGTGGGGTTATTATCATGTTTATAACGGTGTTAAAAATGAACAGGAATGTAGTGGAAATAGGGCAGGGTTTTGAATGTTTGAGGGAAAATGTGGGGTAAAATGACGACCAAGACGAAAAAAGACAACACGAAAAATAATACGGCCATCACGGCCATGCATGCAATGAGTGTGAATGCACAAGATCATGGAAAATTGTTTGGGGGAAAAAAAATCACATTTTCTTTAAAAAAAAAATAAGGAAAGATTCCCATATCTGGCCATCACTAATTTTTCCCTTCAGTGACCGTACTTATCAGTATCAGCCATCAGAAAGTGATGTCCTAAAGTCAAATTTAGCAGGGAAAATATTGAAGCATTTACTGAGAAAACAAAGAAATGTTCAGACCAGTCTCATAGGGTTTGTGCACAGGGTGACAAGTGATGTCAATATAGGAATCTTTCCAAAAATACAGTTTAAAACTTGAAAATTACCAACATAACGCTAGGAGTAGGATCATATTAACAAGAAAGGTAAAATCAAGGTGGCAAAAGTCATTTTGGAATGACACTAAACTCCACAATTGCTTTTCGCCGGTTGCTGTACAAACGTCATTTAACTGTGTAGACAGTATTTGTTTAGCGTACGAACAAGGCCTACGGTACATCATTGACATAGAGCTACATGTACATTGTACATGTCGAGGTCACTTGGCGATCTCGTTCGGCAAGTATGCCATTGCCAAGTTCACGTTCCGCTCACCTACAAAAAAATGGCCTCAATCGGACTACAAATCTGCCATCGAGACGAGAGTCAGACAGGGTGGACTCCATGCGTTGACACAGCAGCTGGAGCAGGCTGTAGTGATTTCAGCTGCCCCTCTTCCGGCCCGAGAACGTCAAATTTCCAACTTTCTAGCTAGTCATTGCTACTGCTAGTCGGTGTACAGGCCAGGGCGCATGTAGCGCAGGTGACGGTGCTAGTTGCTAAATAGATGGCGCTGTCTACACAGTGCATGTCAGCACGTACACGCGATGCGCATGCAGGGATACGGATGCATGCATCATAATGCAATTTACTAGTGTGTTTTTTTCTGTCAAGGTCACAATCATGACAGATTTGTACAACTACCCAAGGGGGCGTCAGTCAGATAACTTGTGGTCAAATTAATTTAACAAGTAAATAGTTTTTATGCACTCTGATTGGATTTCGGCAACTTATTCGTAAACGTCTATATCCCCTGAAGTTCATAGAGTAACAAAATAGAGGGCGCACTAACTGTTTACTGATCATGGACCAGATATTTTATGAATTTCGTACCCAACATAACTACTCGCCAACAATTTTTGATATAATGCAAGACTTGCCTGCACAGTATTTTTTTTCCAAAAAAAAAATTAACTTTTTTACCAAACAACGTCACATTCATTCTATAAACTGAATGATATATCAAAATCACGGCCGGACGGAAAAAATAAAATAAAATGAAAATCACTGTGTTGGTTTGATGACTATGGCTTTTTTTAGTCCAGCGGATATGTGACAAAATATGAATTGTGCACTTTTGCATAAAAGCGTGAAACTTGGCACAGATTCATGCGAGAAAATGTTTTAGGGGCGTGGCATCAATTTAAAAAAGGGGGGGGGGCAGGACTCATCATGCCCGCAGTGAAAACAGTTGTTCCCACTTGTCACAAAAGAAGGAAACTTCACAAAGACATAATTATATAGACTATAAGTGTTTTCCAGATTCGGAGCCACCAAAAAAAGTACCTTTTAAGGGGGCGTGGCAGCTATTAAAAAAAAGGGGGGGGTAAATATTATGCCCATCTTGGGAAAAATTGTGCTCATATTTCATGAACGAATAAAACGTCCCACAGACGTTTATATTCATGAGGGGAAAAATACAGACGTGGAGCCATCTCGAAGATACCCTTGTAGGGGCACCCATATGAGAAAAAAGGGGGCGGGGTTTTCGTTATGCCCACCATGGAACCATTAAATGGAACTTTTCCACAGCCATTGACATTCACGATTTTAGATGGCTCCACATCTAAAACATTTTCTCGCATGAATATGAACATTTGTGCCAAGTTTCACGCTTTTATGCAAAAGTGCACAATTTTTTTCACATATCCGCTGGACTATATGGTCAAGGGGGAAAAAACACCCTCTCAACTATAACTTCCAAATTACTGATGTGCATTAAGGCAAGTAATTGTGCATATATCCACGAATGCCTCTCTTATACTAGTTGAGGGCAATCTTGGCTTTTGCTGAAACAGTTATCTTCTTTATGTTATTTTCTATAGGCAATTATCTTTGTTCTATTACCAATGCGTAAGGGTTAAAATTGGAGGGGGGTCTAAGGGGGGGGGGGCACTGAAGGCACATATTATAATAGGCATGTATTTTTTGTTCAATTCAAGGGAGGGGCCGGGGTTGGTACGCACATCGGGGGGGGGGGGGCACATTACACCTAAACGTAACATAAGCACACAGATTCCTCAAATTCAGACAAAAGGGTTACAGTCTGTATTTTATTTTCAAAGTAGTTTTCACCACCCGTATATCTATACACTGATTACGATACGAGGTAATAGAACTACCGATACATTACGATATGAGAAATTTTTCCTCCCCCCCCCCCCCCCCCCATTTTTTAAAAATACATCTGGCCTTTTAAAACTGGCTGGGGGGTCTCTATGCGTCATATATCTGCGTCCAGGCCCCTATATAGCTGATTTTTAAACGTACTAGTTAAATACCGAACAAGCACATATCTATTCCCATTCGTAAATACCTTTTCGTTCCAGGAAGGTGATCAGTGGCGTAGCCAGACATTTTTCAGTGGGGGGCGCTGGAACATTTCAGGGGGGGGGGGGGGGGGCGTTATGTAGATCAATGATAATTTTTTTAGAAACTCAAAATCTCAGGGGGGGGGGGGGACTGGCTGTCGCCCCCCCCCCCCCCCCCTCCCCCCCCCCCTTTTATCCTTTTATACATGTTCCACTAGTTTTGTTCTGTAAAGGTTCATTGTCATATTTTCTGTATTGTTTTTTGCTGTATGAAATCTTGGCCGAATAAATATAATAATAATATAGTAATAGTAAGAGGAGCAGTAGTAGGAGCAGGCCTCAGTGCCCCTCTTCCATTCTTTTTTTTTTTAACAAGGGAATAAGTATGTGCTGGGCCAGTTTATAAACAAGTACATTTCAAACTGGCTAGGTGTCAGGATGTGGATAACGGGCCGAGCTGAAGATGAGGGTCATGTATCTCAGTACAGGCCCCTAGCGTCACCTGGCGTGACTTGGCGTGGGTCTCGGTATCGACCAATGGCAGCCGGCAAAAAGGGTGATATTTATCAATTAATAACTCGCGAAGCAGGCTTTTATGCACATTTTCACTACACACCATAATGGATAGGAACCTTACTAATGTTCGTGAGGCTTGATTTAAAGATATTGCAGAGGTCAGTGTTACAACTTTCAAAAATGCACGTAGCAAGGCCTATTTTTTCAAATTTCTTCGAAAAAGTAATGAACATATCACAACGATTTTTAGCACATAATTGGATCATTATAAGGGAAATAAAACCTGAAAGTTGCATGAAGATACCGTCTTCCAAACGGGAGAAATTAATTTTCAAAGATTTCGCCCGCCTGTGTGAACAGGTATGTGTACATGTAGTTTCATTCAAAATAAAGTGCTGCGTAGCCTTTGGAAATCGCCCTCCGCAACCACATGGCTGGATAAAGTTACGTAAAACTACTTTGCAGGACGTCGTGCAAACTGCCCAATTCTGAAATACAAAATGTACTTGGAAACAACAAAATCTAAGAAGGGTAATTGACGATGTTGTCATTTTAACTAAACTCTGGATCAAGTTGATTAAAATATTACTTAAAAGAACTGTTCAAAACGTTTGGCAGAATAAAAATACAGATTTTCAGGGGTTACACAGCTTACATGTATTGGCTCCAATGCTGAAATACAGGTTTTCATAGGTTTTAAAAGTTTGCTGTGAGGCTTGATACAATTTTAAATGTTGAGGGACTTTGACGTCTTGCAGAAACTGAGAAAATGCTCTGAATAAACGCAGTTGTTTACATCAGATTTACACAAAATAAAGGTTAAACTTTCAAGTCAAATTGTTTGTGAAGTTGTGCTATAAAGATGTCATTACATCATGACAACCATGCAAACTGCGTTCAAGATGACCACGTCAATTTTTTTTACCCACGTGACCATCGCATGACTAAGTATATAATCCATCCTTTACAGTGTTCTTGTGTGAAGACTTTATATATAGGATTGTTTGCAATTGTCATATTTGTATGTAATTTCGTGACATGGACTGATTTAAGGGCTATTAATTTATAGCAGACATCGTTCTGCTGTGCAGTTCCATGTTTTGTGTCCATCTGTACTGGAAGAACACCCAAGAACGCTGTCTACTTTCAACCATCAAAGAGCGGCTCACAGAATCTGTCATTCATAGAACCCATGGGTCACAGGGAGTGCCCGAGTGCCAGCAATATCATGGTAAAGTACCGGTGGTAACTTGGCAGTTTCATTTTTGAGTGATACCAAATGATCTTATATGCCTTTAAAGGGAATATACAACATTTGCAAACATCGAAAAATAAAACTACCAAGTTTTTGCGAAATACCTTAATAGGATGTTGGTAAATGACAGTCTAAAGCATCCTGTAAAATTATGGCACCTGGTATACTGTCATTTTCAAGAAAAGTGGTATTTTTGTATCAATTTCCAACGCTGATCGGCCGATCAGCGTTGGAAACAACTGGCTTTTTTTTCAAATACTGGCCCCAATTGACCATTGTACTTGTTTGCAATCGATTACAAACCTATGAACGGGTACGAGCCAGCTAGACTGGTTCCCTGACCTTACAATTCCCCAATGTATGTAAACTGACCTTACAATTCCCCAATGTATGTAAACTGCTCTGTTTCTTCTTATATGGAGTCAGGGAACCAGACTACAGGAAAATGATCGTTTTTCTTGGTTTTTATAGCATTTTCGAACCCAAAACCTCCAAAAAGTCAGTGTAACTATATTTGCTTTATATTTCCAACCCCCCAATTCCATCCATTTCTGAAAATTACAGCAAAAGCAAATGATGTATATTCCCTTTAAGGAATCACATTTGACAGAGGCATACATATTAGGTGTTGGAATCATCACTGGGCTTGCTTGTACATGCTTTCCTCACACTTGGGCTAGTTGACAATGGTTTGAATAGTCTAGTTGACTAGCTTACTCAGGTACGTCTTACCACTGGTTGCCCACAGCTGGGTGTATCGGAGTGTACCACAGAGAGTCAGTGCTGAGAAGTTCCTTGATAACATTTGATAAGTCACGAACAAAAAACAGTGCATATCGCACAGCATCCGCAACCAGACTCTCCACATCATGTCCAAGTCTCAAGTCCAACACACGACTCTCTTGGAAGTGTGGAAGTTTAAATGGTTTCCTACTCTAATTCTGGACACAAGATGGCTTCCTTTGAGACATAGATTAAACACTGCGTTGCTAGGACTTCCAGGGAAAATTAATGATGCCATCATGACAGGCCGTGCTGATTTAAGGGTTTTTAATTTTAAGTTGACTTCGTTCCACTGAGCTGTTTAGTGTTTTGTGTCCATCGATGCTGGAAAACCACAAAAGAACACTGTTCACTTTCAACCGACAAAGTACAGCTCGCAGAATCAGTCATTCGTAGTTGATGATGGTCGGACTAGTCTAGTCGACCAGTTATTACTCAGGTAATTGTTTACACTGGTTGTCCACAGCTGGGTGTATTGGAATGTATCACAGAGAGCCAGTAATGAGAAGTTCCTTGATAACATTTGACAAGTCACAAACAAAAAACAGTGCATACCGCACAGCATCCGCAACCAGACTCTCCACATCACACTAGGTTTATGTCAAAGTCTCAAGTCCAACACGCAACTCTCCAGTGTAGAATTTTCAATGGTTTCCTATTCCAATTCTGGACACAAGATGGCTTCCTTTGAGACATAGATTAAACACTGCGTTGCTAGGAATTCCGGGGAAAATTTACGATGCCATCATGACAGGCCGTGCCTTCTTGGCTTCTAAAGACGTCTCCGCTGCGCTGGCAAATCCGGTTCCTCCCTACAAACAAGATGGCAGAACAAACATTAAACGCTGCAACAAGGAAATAGATTGGCATTTTAAACAATATGAGTATATACTGACTAGATCATGCACATGCCCGGTGTCATACATTAAGCAGTGAAGCCATGCATGAGACGCTTTTTCGGCCTCGTATGGTCGCTTCTTGCATATTCAAACAGAGTCTTGTATCAGACCATGCACGCGCATGGGAATAAATTTACTAAGGGAATAAATCTGTGTTTGGGAGGTATTATAACACTCAGTTTAAGACTGGTGGGAGTGTGGATGGGTGATAATTACCTGAGGCGAAGCCAAGGGTAATTATCACCCATCCTGACTCCCACCGGTCTTAAACTGAGTGTTTAATACCGACCGAACACATGTTTATTCCCATTCATAAATACCTTTTCGGTCAAAAAAAACAAATCTTTTCGGTCCAAAAATCAAAAAAGTTAAAAAGTGTACGTTGCCAACCATTTTCTTCAACAATTTTACTTCATGTTTTACGAAACACCCCTCTGACTATAATATGGAATGCCCCTCCACAACTCGTTACCTTATAAGGACATCGGTGTGCGCATCGCGCGTACTGCGCTATATCGCGCAAAACGCAGCTAGGCTGGTGTAGTGTGAATTTCGGACCATGAAATACTGATTTACTGGTAGTATTGCGCATGCTTACGTGAGGAATGTGAACATTCAATCAATGAAATGTTATAAGGCACCGGATTTCACGGGAGTCCAAATTTCATGTGACACTGGAAAAGTGCTTAAGACCAGCTAGCCATGTCTTTATCATCCGTTTAAGACCGGGCTCTCGACCAATAGGAATGAGTAAACTGTCTTAGGTATTTATGAATAAGGTTTCAAGTGATGGATTCCATATAATGCATACCCGTCTGATCTTGATGATGTCGTTGTCTTTCAGCGTGTCTCCCGTGAACGGATCTCTCATGTCTTTCTTGATGATTTTCTCCACGCAGTCCAGCGTTACCACCTTCCCGCTGCAAGACAAAGTAATACAAGAGGCCGGTCCATCAAAAACTTACATGTAGATCAAGACTACAATCCCGGCCAGAACTCGCTGGGCCCCCACCCCAAAGTTGTCTCTCTTTGCGCGGTCTGTGCTCAAGTGCGAGATGACAACATTGACTTGGTAAGCGGGGTCCAGGGGGCGAATTTATTTATCCCAAATGACAACCACATCGCTATGGCATTTTCGACTTAACTTTTATAAAAACATGAAAAGAAAATATAAAATTTGCAAAAAAAGTGAATTTGAATGTTATAAAATTCGGACTTTATTTCCCTTTAAAAAAAATCCTCCAAAGCCCCAGGTTAGAAAAGGAAAAAAATGTGGGTGCAAAACCGAAATACGAAACCGCAACCTCGCAGTGCAAAATCCTACTCGTTATTGACCGAGCTGTCGCACTGCTCTACAAAATGTGGGGAAACACATAATTATATACCTGCATGCATATCATAAAAGTATCGATGAGGGCGCTAAACAACCATGTATGCGGATGTCGTTTGGGAGAAAAAAATTTGCGTCCAGGGGAGGGTATGCTCTCGTGTGGTGTCCCAACCATTTTGGCCGGGAATTTCTGAATGAATTTACCCTGCATTAGATGTGGAGAGGGAGTGTGTGGACCGGGGGACCGAAGGAGGGTATGCTCTTGTGTGGAGGTGTCCCAACCATTTTACCCATGATCGTCTGAATGTATATACCCTGCATCAGATGTGAGACAGGAGTGTGTGGACCAGGGGACCGGGGAGGGTATGCTCTTGTGTGGAGGTGTCCCAACCATTTTACCCATGATCGTCTGAATGTATATACCCTGCATCAGATGTGAGGCAGGAGTGTGTGGACCAGGGGAGCGGGGGAGGGTATGCTCTTGTGTGGAGGTGTCCCAACCATTTTACCCATGATCGTCTGAATGTATATACCCTGCATTGGATGTGGAGAGAGAGTGTGTGGACCAGGGGAGCGGGGGACCGGGGGAGGGTATGCTCTTCAGTGGATGAGTCCCAATTATGTTGGCCGGAATAGATAAACCTAGTAAATCTGGTCCCAGAACGATTTGTGCTAGGGGGTCTAGGTAGTCATCAGAGTCAAATTGGTAAGGCTGAACTCTAACCTTCCCAAATCCTCTAAAATCCTCTTTGCAAAATGGAGAATTCTGCAGGATTGAAGCTGTAATGGCTAAAGTGTGTGGCTGATTTCAGAGAATGCACTGTGTCAAGGTCTTTGGCCGGTCTTTGTGTTGTTTATGCTCAGCCGCGCATACATTTAGTCCTAGATTATACTTGAAATCCTCCACACTGCTCCAGGATGTAACTGGGGGAAGAAAATCTGGAAAATAGGCCTAACAAAAATCCATTCTGGAATATGGGTCACGCGCATAAACCACCTCGCGCCAGGACAATTTTTTGCCGAAAATTTTGATTTTTCCCAAAAGGCAATATTTCTCCCCAACTTCTAATATACAGCCAAACGCCAAATACTGATTTGCAAGAGTCATTTTATGTGTACCATATTTCTTGCTGAAACTTCATATGCTTCAATACTCCGGGGTGTGCGTAAATTGTACAACAATTGGCCGCGCACAACGGCCAATTCAGGATCAACGCACGGTCCGCCTCCACAGACTTCAGACTGTGAGTGTGTGTACAAAAGACACGAGGGATTAGCGTGTTAAGATGCCACCCGGAGGCGAGTCAAGGCAATCTTGACATCTTAAAAACAGCCAGTGCGTGTTATCACGTCCTCCGACGTGAACTGGTTAATAAATAGTAGCAACTTCGTAAAATTGGGTCTACTGTACCTGGGTCTGAGTACGGCACACGGTGTCTTGTTGGACAGGACGTCGTGGGTGACGGCGCACTTGTACCGAATCTGCTTTGCCACCATGGGCCGATTGTCGTTGGCGTCGTCAGCCCGCACGAAGTTGACCGGAATTAGATTCTTGACTTTCAGCGGCTTCTTGCTCATGGGACAGTAGACGGTTTTGTCCTGTCCATCAAATAAAGCACATTACACAAGTCAAAAAACAGAGAATTGTGACACAGTGTGACGCAATTATTATTATGGGGCGCTGTGGTCCAATGGTTACGGTGTTCGACTCGTGTGCCGTGGTACATGGGTTCAAATCCTGACCGTGGGAACATGGTGCTTGCACTCTTGAGCAAGGCACTTTACCACTATTGCTTCGTCCTTCGGATGGGATGTTACGCGGTAGGTCCCGTGTGTTGTGTAATTCACGTTACAGAACGCAGTAACACTTATCGCTAGTAAAAAAAGGGGTTTGCCCTGGTGTTTCTGGCAGTGGCTGCTTAATGCGCCGCAGCACCTTGTAAACCATTATAAAGGTGCTACAAATGGTTCTCATATTTCTCATGTACTTCATTTACCTGTCTCTAATAATAGGCATAAATTCCAGCGCCTTGAGCACCTAATTGTTGGTAGATGTGCTACATAAGACTTAAGTATTATTCTTATTGTTGTTATATCATGTGCTTGGATACTGTAGTTTTATTGGTCGAGAACAGCCACGCGTCTGGTCCATAAAAACACAGGGCACACACGGAGGGTGATATCGCACTGCGTTCATTGCACAAGTCTGGAGCCTGCTGGCGCGCTAGCTTCGCACAATGATAACTGTTACATCCAATACTTAGTCTCATGTCCAGCAGGACACCAAAACGTTCAGTTACCAAAAAATTAATCGCAGTGATTTAATTTATTTCTCACACGGTAAGTTACAACCATCTATCGTTATGATTTATTGGCACGATACAACAAAACAATTACTGACTGCTGTGATGTGGGATAAGCTGTTTTTAACCCCCTCAGGGTGCATAGCACTCTAGGCGAATGTGCCCTTGGGGGTTACAAAAGTCATATCCCACATCACAGCAGTTAACAATTGTTAATTACTATACCTCATACATATTCATGATCCAGAGCCGAACTCTCCAGTCAATAAGCCATTTGCGTGTTAAATTTGAATAAAATCTGGAACGCTGACTTAATACAATGCTTTGCACGTTTTAACCTAGCATTCTCCCGACCAAAGAGACTGTTACTATATCACGTGATTCGGGGCAAGCCTTATGCTAGCAACACCCAGCTCTGGCATGGTCTGGTGTCTTTGTGCCATTCTCACCCATTGCGAACGATGTATTGGTGCTGAGCGTCTCTTACGTAACTATGCAAGAGCTTGCCCCGAATCATGTGACTAGCAACAGTGTCTGTGGTCTGGAGAATTCACAGTTAAAATTTGCCAAGCATTCTGAGCAAGTCATTGTACCAGACGTTTTTCAAATGTAAATCCCAAAGGGTATCATGGGTATAGGTTACTCGCAAATGGCTTATTCACCATCATGTGCCAGATGTTATTTTTGCTGTTTACCAAGCGCGCGAGGATTCACGCACAGGGTGAATACGCATGCGTAGTAGACTGTGGCATGGGTTACCCGTGTGACAGTCTACTACACATGCGCTTTACAAAGCAATCGTGGAACTGTCTCACGGGTGTAGTACGCACGCGCGAGCATCGCCCAAATGAACTACACACAAAGAGATGGTTAAGGTTGCATGGCGCGTTATTTTCCCGAGCTCAATGATGCCAAACTAGAGAATATTTATGGACAATTAAGATGCCTCCTGTACAAAAGAATATTGTACATGTACACAAAACTACTGTATTTACAGCTGCACTGTATGGTAAACGAATCAGTGAAGTTGAGCAAAACGATTCTTTTGGTGAACTGGACAAGTTTTTCACACACAAAAATATTGTTTGAGGTTCCTTCATGCAACAAAAACAAAAAACAAATCAGTGCTGAATACGTACGAGGTATAGAAAAACAAACATAACATGGTTTATTTCGGGTGGACAGCCGATATTAGCTTCCCTCGGTATTGGAAGATGACAAACTAGTTCCCTCGGCGTTTGTCAGCTTCCAATACTTTGGGGAGCGAATATCGACTGTCCACCCTCAAACCAAGTTATATTTGTATAATAGTTACAGGGCAAGTCCAAGACTTCGTTCAGGGAGTTTTTTTCCAACACGATGTCTTGCATACCGGTTTCTGGATGGCAGTAGCCTTTGCCTGCGGCGTCAGAGACGGAATCCAGAAACTTGGAAGCTCTGACTTTTTCTCGCCGTTTTCTGTCGTGCCTCCAGCTTTGCTGTTGCCATTGCTGCTGCTGCTGCTAGTTGTGGGCGTGTCTTGTTTGGACTCTTCCATTTTCGCTCTTTTGGCGGGGGGAGCCTCAGTGAAGGGGTTGAGGGGCTTGCTTGTGATGCTGCGCTCTGAGAAAAAGAGTTTGTTTGATAATACAATTACTATAATTTATAACAAAAGTTGACTGGAAATATCTTGGTTTTGTAACTTATATCCTACCTATTGTCAGTATGAAAATGTTTTTTGTAGTTTTCAATTCAAAACTCCTTTTATTTAAATCTATCTATTCAGCACAATATATTCAGGTTCTTTGTCAGTCAATGAAAAAGTCTGGTGCCAACACTCTTTAGTGTGTCTTTACTGCAGTAGTTACAAGGACTACAACAACAGATTGATTCCGTAAAGATTACATGCCCCGACTACATGTCTTCGAAATGGTTCCAGAGGGAATTTTGGTGCTACCAAAAAAAAAACACCGCATGGCAGCGAGCTTGATACTCACCGGGATGACGTCAGCTGGGCGCGTATCATTTGTACTTCCCGGACGCGCGGCGGAATCGGCCAATGATAAGATCCAATTTGATCATGAATATTTATGAGGTGTTGTAATGAGGAATGTGATGTTAGTGTGAATTGGGGAAGAAGGGGGAATATTAGTATGTAAATTATGCAGTATGTAAATTATGTAATATATATGCAAATTATGAACATTACCTTTTTCAATGAAAGCCTTCACTTGATCTTCCTTTGCAGACTTCTTAGCCTGGCTCTCTTCATCCTGGAAAAAAAAGAACATTTTCCCCAAATTAACACAAGTTGTAGACTTGAGTTCCCTCTTAGAATGCAAAGTGTAGCATTATCTCTAAAAGATCCAAGATCTGAGGGAAAACACTGTGTGGAATAACTCAATCAAAACGAACCTCTTAATAGTAAAGTGCCGCTGCCAGTTTTTTGCCTTGTATAATTAACACTAACCTTCCCAAATCCTCCAAAATTCTCTCTGCAAAATGGAGGATTTTGCAGGATTGAGGCTATAAATAAGTCAAAAACTGTGCAAGATTTTGGAGTGCACTGTGTTAAGGTCTTGGGCCGGACCTTGTGATATATTTATACTCAGCCATGTATGCATTTAGGCCTACATTATATCTGAAATCCTCCGCACTGCTCCACGATGTCACTGGCTCTCCTCAACATAGACAGTGATTGCTGGAAGATTTTGCAGGATTCAAGCAGTGATCACACCTCCAAGGACCACATTCAAGAATTATCGGAGCATTTTGCCAGATTCTGCAAATGTACCAAACCTCACAGACAAAATTTAACACCTGATCCATCACCAGCAATACAATGCACAGTGCTCAAACCTACCGTATGTTGTCAACTTTGAGGATCTGGACTCCCTAAATTTGAAGGTACCAAACCTCACAGACAAAAGTTAGCGCCTGATCCATAACCAGCAATACAATGCATGGTGCTCAAACCTATAATGGTCAACTCTGAGGATCTGGACTCTGCAACATATGCAAATATACCAAACCTCACAGACAAAAGTTAACACCTGATCCATCACCAGTAATACAATGCATGGTCCCGAAACCCATGTTGTCAACTTTGAGGATCTGGACTCTCTACCTGCAAAGGTATCGAACCTCACAGACAGACTAAAGCATGCTACTTCCCTAAAGATTACAGTCTGAAGTGAGGTTCTGAACCTCACTATATGGGAAAGTATTGAACATCGTGAAGTTTTGTCTCTGCAAGTATGCAAATGTACCAAACCTCACAGACAAAAGTTAACACCTGATCCATCACCAGCAATACAATGCGTGGTCCCGAAACTCACGTTGTCAACTTTGAGGATCTGGACTCTCTACTTGAAGTTGAAATGTACCGAACCTCACAGACAGACTAAAACATGCTACTTCCCTAAAGATTACAGTTTGAAGTGAGGTTCTGAACCTCACTATATGGGAAAGTATTGAACATCCTGAGGTTTTGTACCCTCGGGGAGATGCGTAGGAGTTAGGACAAACCTGGTGGAGGCGACACTGGCGATGGTACTCCTTGAGCTTGCGCTCATAATCTTGTTTCTGTTTGAGTACATACTCTATGATCGCTTCCTTATCGTAAAGGTAGCCTTCTTCCCTATTGAACAGAAGGGGGAAAAAGAGGTTAAAGAATACATGTCCAGCTACTAAAAAAGGCGCTAGAATATATTTTGGATTACAATGTGCGGAATGTAAAACCCAGATCACAAAATCACTCCCAATCACTTTCCTGGAACGAGAGCCAGACAGGAATGTCTTTAACGCTAACCAACCCAACTCCATCAAAATCCATCCCCCCCATTTTGGTAGATTTTAATTGGGGGACTTGGTCCAGAAGGCCTGGCGTGACTAAATACTGATGGAGTATGATGGACTTGGGCCTAATGGCCTGAAGCAGTGCTAGGGGTATCTGCTTGATTTTGCCTAGCTTCCTGTACTGCTATTGTGATAAAAGAAGTCCAAGAATGTCAACCAGTGCGGCAGTGGTGGATTCCATTTTGTCCTGTACAGTTTTGTATTTAATAGACGCACAGTGCTTGATGGATTTTGATGGACTTGGTCCAGTTCCTACTAAAAGATGCCAGGGTATGTTTGCTAGAACTCTGCCAAACGTAGCAACATGCAACACTTGACTAAGTGACAAGCCTGCCAAATGTAGCAAGATCCATCAGAGGAGAAGTCTCAAGGCCCTACTGCCTCAGAGTCTGTGGTCACCGCAAGCAGCAGGATACAACTGAGGCATTCTCAATGGGACTTAGCTCTCATTGTTTCAGAACTGGCCGTTCATGCACTGGTGTTGGTAGCTTTTAATGCATCAAAAACCCTTTTCACACTACAGCCTCTCAACCCGGGTTGAACTCAACCCCAGGCGAACCCAGTGCCGCCCCGGGTTGAGTTTTTGATTTTTCAACCCCACGTTCAACCCCGCATCGTTTCACACTTGTTTCATGCAAATCAAGCTGATCATGCTCAGTTACTACTGTGTTGAACCCAGGCAAGATTTTCAACCCGGGTTGAAAATCTCTACCCTGGTCTGGCGCAGGGTTGAGTTCCACCTGGGGCAAAATCAATCTCGGGATTGACGCAGGGTTTACACAGGGTTGAAATTCTTCAAGTGTGAAACGTTGCATGTTTTCAACCCTGCGTCAACCCTGTGTCAACCCCGAGATTTGTCTCGTGTGAAAAAGGCTATAGTGCACCAGTTCTTTTCCACCTAATGCACTGTGTCATTGCGTCTGGCAGGGTTAGGGTTAATTAAATAAGCTCATCTACATTAATCAAATTAGGTTTTGCCCTTCACCGACGTTTTAAACACGGTATACTCAGTGTGTTACCTCCCGGAAAAATCATTCAGGTGGGACTCGAACCCACGACCTCCTGCTTTCTAGTATACAGTGTTTAAAACGTCGGTGAAGGGCAAAACCAAATTTGATTTATATCACCCCGACGCAAAATTCCATCTCATCTGCATTGTCGGTAAAACATAAATTAGGTCATTCGGTTTTTTTTTTCCAATCCAAAAAGTGTAGATGTTACTCACGTATTATTAGTTACGCTTCCAGAAAGGGTCTGTCAAAGGCAGTTGAGCACTGGACATGGTTGCCAGTCTGACAAAGTTCCTACCTTAGGAGTGGAACGAAACTAATAATATGCCAGTAACATTTTCACTTTTTTGGATTGGAAAATTCATGTGCAAGACAGGAACTTATTTCCAGAAAGTGCATTTTCCCGCTGTCACAAGAAATGTCCAAATGCTTGTAGTTCACTTAAAGGTACAGTCCATTATTTGTAATCTCTGCATTTTGTTCGTTTGAAGCAACAAACGTGCTCAAAATCTAAAGGGTGCTGAACAACAAACCTGATGAAGTTTCAGCTCAGCCTCAGCTGTATATTCCGAGAAAAACAGCATTCTAGGATCTCGCTTTCAAATCAAAAGTTGCTGATTCATGGTTTGAATTTGGCCTGAATTCAGCGTCCGAGACATGTTCTCACTGAGCCGATTGCAGCTACGCGATGTCGCGCTTTGAACTGACGAATTATAGCGACCATGCGCGCGTGTTCATCATGCCAACGCTTTTGCGCACTTCGCCGAATAAAAAACCCAACAACTAAAGGAAATTTCCAACGGTGCATCTTTAGACGCACCGTTCGAAAGACCTTCTTTTGTTGATTTCTTCAAAATGACAGAATGCAAGAAAGAATAATTTCACAGGGAGATAGTCCCCGTACTGTCTTTCAACCAAGTATGTTTTTCAACACTATAATTATGTCAGTAACTTTTTGGATAGCTGCAAATGATGGACTGTAGCTTTAACTCACCTTGGGCCTTCAGCAAAGTCCGTGAGCGATGCCATTTCAAACTGTATGTTTATTTGCAATAGTTGTACAATATTTATAATAGCTGTTTTACAATCATGCAATAAATAAATTTAAATATAGACACAGAGTGGAAGGCATACGTTATGACTGGGTTTGGGCACGGCTGTAACGTCAGGCAGCAGCAATCAAAGTCACCCACCGAGTCCTTCCCTAGTCGGGTCTTGTTGGTGCCGTAGCCGGACTGAGCTGCACGGGGACAAAATAATGAACAGAAGTTTAGAATGGGTCTACATGTACATCAACAAGAGTATAGTTGAGCATCATAAACTGATTTGCAATTTGGAATGTGACTGACATCAAATTCATAAATTTCACACTTGTACGTTTTCACGTAATTGAAAATTGGAGGATTTGAGGGCATGCAAATCGCGATTTGGCAGGCGCAGGCAATAAGCCATTTGCAGATGAGGCTATATACCCTTTGCGAGTAAATTTGAATAACATCTGGTGCACTGACTTGCTCGTAATGCTTGGCACGTTTTAACTCTGAATTCTCCGGACCAAAGAAACTGTTGCTACCGGGTACGTCACATAATTAAGGGCAAGCTCTTGCATAGTTACATAAGAGACGCTCAGCATCAATACATTGCTCTAATTGGATAAGAACGGCACAAAGACGCCAGAACTTCGAGTGCTGGAGTTTGCTAGCGTAAGGCTTGCCCCTGTCGTGGAAAGTTACCGTGAGTGCCTTGTGCATGAAACACTTATTGCATGGAACAGTCATTGTCTTGCTTTCCACGAAAAACGCACCAGACAAAAAATTAATCTACTAGCGGCACCTGAAAGCGGTATGGTACCCATATATTGTTGATGTACCCTAATGTGGCGCGGCCCTCAACGTGGCGCACTTTGATTTTTCGCTCTCTATAGTGCCTTGTTAGAGTCAAATTTCACACGAAAAAAAAGAAATTTAATCAAGCTCTTGACATTCACATTCCTAAATCTTGGGTTTACATACCCGCTACGAGGTTCTAAGGAAATTCTATTTTGGCGTGATTTTCAGATTTTTTTTCAAAGTGCACAATGAACCCTTTTAAAACTCTCCCCAAAATAAGAAAATAATTTGCTGACAAACTTGTAGTTGTGTATGTGAGTGGAGGTAATAATGATTCAATAAAATTTATCAACTTTAATGAAATTCTTTAGACGTTAATGTGGGATTTTAAGAGATTTGTTCAAGTGTGCCACGTTAGGGACCTCTCCGCCAAATTTGAGCCCAATTTTCGGATGCCACCGTTTTTGAATATTGGACTTATTCATGACACTAAAATTGTTCACAAAGGTTCAACAGCAAGCATTATTAAGGAAATAGTACCACTATTAAACTGAATAAATTTGAAGGTTTTTCTATGGAGAGGTTTGGCAACACTACATGAAGAAAGTCGGGGGAAACGTGCATACATTACAGACTGCGCAATAGTCGTAGCCTTGTTGCCATTTTGTGATTGGACAATGAACGACGTTCATTTGATGGTGTCTTCGTACCTCCAGTGCAAGAAGCTGCAAGTGGGGTCGCAAGTAGTGCTGCTTACCGTACGCACCTGGGATCCGTCCGCACTCGATCAGTATACAATACGTTCAGAATCATTTTAGTGACGGTCTGTTTTCATAAATGAACATCATGTAAAGAAAATAAATTTCCAATTTTCCAAATGATCTATGATTACATCGTGAGATCGTTTAGACACCCCCCCCCCCCCTATAAATGCATGAAAGCATGGAGGAAAGTGAATACGGAATTGGAGTGTTAAGTAATTCTTCCGGTCACATTATCAGTCCTTTTTAGATATTAGGGAGGTATTTTTTTAATTAAAACAATTATTGAAGAGAAAAGCAGGGATCAATTTAATACGCATAATATGTACATAAAATTAATAAATTTACATTCACAACATAATTTTTTAAAGAAAATATGAATATAGATGAATAATATACATGTAAGTTTCTTTTTAAAGAGAGAAGTATTCCATTCCCAAAGTTTATGCACAAAATTAATGTCCAACGAATCATTGCACTGAGATAGCTTGCAATGTTCATTCAAATATCGAGATGTATACACAGTAGGGTTTTGTGAAATGATTTTTCTTTTCCCCCTTTCTGTATCATTATGTGAACGAAATGTGTCACAAAAAACCTGCAGAATCTGGCCTTGTACGATGAACATGTACATGCGACGCCCGTACGTGTACATGGTACCGTACGTACTTGCGTACATGTACTTCAACGTCGTTAATTGACCAATCACAAAATGGCAACAAGGCTACGACTATTGCGCAGTCATTACAGTGCAGACGCCATTTTGAAATCGCATGGGGGAGCATTTTCGGGACGATATTTGTGGAAGATGATGAGCAAAAGTCGTCTTTTGGTCAGATGGATCAAAATATTGGGACCAAAGAATGTTTTTTCAAAAAGGTATGAGTTGCTCTACAACTAGGAACCTTAACTTTGGATATTTCTGTCCTGGACGAGAAGAAAATCTCAATCAAAATCTGTAGCAAAATCGCTACATCAGCGGGAAAAAAAATTCGGTAATCCTTACTTTTAGGACCCCGTTCCTATATAAGGTTACAAGACTCACCAAAACAGCTGACTAAATGACACTCGAAAGTGACATTCTGATATTTCTTGTCTTATATCTGAACAGTATGACCCTTCTTGAATATCAGCAGGTTTAATTTTGTGGAAAGAGGCTGACAGGGATTTGATTTATGAGGGAAATTAGGGGGGGAAACATGGCAATGACAAACAGTAAACAGACTCAAAAACCAAGATGGCAAACTGCAAAAAAGGGTAGGAAAGTCACATTTTCTTTGAAAGTGCTTTCAAACAACTTTAGAACATTAATCAGAAGATAAAAGATTTCTTTAGCCTGCAAAGGTCACTTTGGTACTGGACAGTTGCCAAAGTCAGTTTTGAACAGAACTTGTGAAAAATAGAGGTGTCCTAAAGATAAGGATTACCAAAAATTCAGTCTGTGTGGAAGCATTGAGTGTCTGGCCGTACTACAGAGCTCGCGATAGTACTGTACGGCCAGACGCAGTCGGGCTACCTATGCAACTTTATAAAAACATGAGAAGAAAATATAAAATTAGAACTATAGAAGGAAAAAAGTGAATTTGAACGTTATGAAATTTGGACTTTTGTTTTCCCTTTTAAAACAAAATCCTCCAAAGCTTCAGGTTAGAAAAGGAAAAAAATTCGAGTGCAAAACTGAGATCCGAACCTGCAACCTCGCGGTGCAAAATCCTACCCTTTATCGACTGAGCTGTCACACTGCTCACACTAGTCGCAACACGTGGGGAAACAAATAATTATATACCTGCGTGCGTATCAAAAAAGTATTAAAGGGCGCTAAACAACGCATGCCGTAACGATAGCCACTTCGCTGCATGGAAGGTGAGCGCGTGACGAGTGCGTCATTGTACCTGTGGCCGTTTATTTTCATTATTATTAGGGCGGCCTACGTAAAAAATGAAACAGCTCCATGAGAAAACTTACCTGCATCTTTCTGCCGCTCATGATAAGTGTAAACCGTCCCAGCAGTACAGTTTCTTTGATGCCGCGTCATTTTCAAAGAAAAGTTGTGTTTTCGCCCAGTATTTACGGTCCGTTTAACTAGGGTTCTAGTGTGCGAAATGAAGATTTGTGCATATGATCTGACAATCTAGCGAGCACGTACAGCCGGCCGGCCAACGTCGTTGAACGTTGTTGCGCCCTCTAGTGCTAGCGTGCAGTGCACTAATTCAAGTTAGAATTTCTACGCGAGCTCACAACATTAGCATAAAAGGTACCCCTCCTTCCCCCCCCCCCCCTATCTTTTTAAAACGGACACCGTTTCGGCTTTAAAAACAGTGGAATTGTGTAAATATGGTCAAGAATCAACTCCCTGGTTTTCGGGACTTCCATCTGAGGGCAGACTTGATAAAATTACGGTTGAAAAATGAGTCCTATTTGCCTGAGAAAGTGGAACTTAAGTTCTGGAAGGGCTTCATGCAGGCTTGGGAACTGTTGCGTTTTGGTGTGAATATCAATGTATTTAAAAATATAATTGGCTAGTCTACCCAAAACTGAAAAGAAATAAAAAGATGACGGACAAGACAATAATTTAATTTTGGTTTGAGAAACCCCAGTGATGTCGGCCTGCATGTTATTTGGCCCTGAACTTTGTTAATTTTACACTGTTTTCAATGGGGCTTGAAAGGGTTCAGAATAAGGGAATAACAGTGTGAAGAGCCGGTCTTCACTGCGTGATAATGACCGGGTGTGGGGGTGACCGCTGTTAATGGACCGAGACGAAGTCCACAAATCCACAACATTTTTCTCCAGCATGGACCGGACAAGCCATGTCTCAAATTGGATGAGGGATAGGGGCCGACTCCATTAGATTTTGTTAATATCTTATGAAGTACTTCAATGCTACAAAAGTGCAAATGAATACACAGAAAAAATTCATCTGAAGTTTTCACTGATATTTTATTAACTTACACTGAAAATGTTGCCTAACATTCATTGCAAATAAGTGTCAAAAATCATAAGACTTATAATCTTTCCTTTTTGTTCATCTTAAAGGGAAAATACAACATTTGCAAACATCAAAAAATAAAACTACCAAATCATTTTGAAATACCTTGCTGGACTGTTAGTGAATGACAGTGTAAAGCATCCTGTAAAATCATGGCACCTGGTATACTGTCATTTTCAAGAAAAGTGGTATTTATGTATCAATTTCCAACGCTGGTCGGCCGATCAGCGTTGGAAAAAACTGGCTTTTTTTCAAATACTGGCCCCAATTGACCATCGCACTTGTTTGCAATCGATTACACACCTATGAAAATAATTGTTTTTCTTGGTTTTTATAGAATTTTCAAACCCAAAACCTCAAAAAAGTCAGTGTAACTATATTTGCTATATATTTCCAACCCCCCAATTCCATCCATTTTTGAAAATTACAGCAAAAGCAAATGATGTATATTCCCTTTAACTTCCAATATTACATTTCTAATTACATGCTATTCAAAGTTTTTTATTTAAAACCTGCAAAATTCTCACTACATGTGCTACAGGTCAGTGGCCCACCCAGGATTGGGGGGGGGGGCTCAATTTTTTTATTATTTCTTAGAAGATATCAAAATTTCAAAATGTTAAATTTTCCCAAATTTTTTCGTCGCAGAATTTTTTTGGGGTGGGGGGGGGGGGGCGAGGGGATGGACTATTTTGACGTTGGTGGCGCCACTTACACCCCTATTATACTACTCCAAAACAGGCCGCATACACACCACCAAGGTCAAATCATGGGAAACCTTTTTTTGGGGGGGGGGGGGAAGCCCCCCCCCCTCCCCGGTGCGCCACTGCTGCAGGTTGCTGTAGTTTCAACACAGCGAGAAGACATACATGTACTTTAGTGAATTTCATCAATTGCTCCTCATTTAGAATAAAACCATACCATACAGAATACCATACAGATCATGTAACACTAAAAAAACACTCTTTTTTACACACTATTTCCTCAATTGTTCTAAAAAACAAAACTATTGATACATAACAGAGTTCAACCATTTTTCTTTTACACAATTTTCCTCAATTGCTACTTATTTATAAGGAAACCTGCATACCGGATTTTATAACTTAAAAACAAAAGTATTGATACATGTCGGAGTTCAAAACCAATTCTTTCTATACACAATTTTCATCAATTGTTCCTCATTTAGAAGAAAACCTGAATATCATACATGTTATAACTTTAAAAAAAGTCTTGATGCATGTCCGAGTTCAAAGCATTTTTTTTTACTGAGCCAAAGGCTAATAAATGGCCAAAATCAAATGAACCTTTGGTAATAAATGGACAACAAAAACTAAAGTAACACGTTTTCTGTACCTCCAGGACATTGTAGTTGACTTTAATACTGTAAAAAACTACATTCTGTTTGATAATACATACACATGTACAACCACATGGACTATATTCAAATAAGTTTAACCTTGGGGATTTTACGGAAGCGTATTTAGGACATGACCGAAAATATTTTTTCGGTCTTGACCAATATTGACCCAGGTAAGACCGTTTGAATGTACGTCACATTCCTTCTTTTCGCTAATGCAATTTTTAATTTTTATGGAATATTGGGGGGGGGGCCTAGACAAAATTGGGGGGGGGGGGGCCTAAAGCCCTCCCCCAGCCCCCCGTAGAACCGCCGCTGTTTACATTTTAAGCTCTGGCAGGGATCATTTTGATCATATTGATATATTTCATGCAAGACTTTCTTGCAAGACAGCCAGAGCTTATCCCAGTGGGCACATGACGTTGTTTCAACGTTGAATGTTGGTTGAAATGACGTCACGACGTCGAAATACCGTAAAACAACGTTATTTCAACGTCACTTTTGCGACGTTGATTTTATGTTACAGTTTGACGTTGTTTCAACGTCGAATAAATGTTGAAATTGCGTCGCGATATTATCAACCTAAATTCAATGTCTATCCAACGTCGGTTTTGTAACGTTGTTCCAACGTCCATATTTCGACATTAATCCAACATTGAATGTTGGTTGAAATTGCGTCGCGATATTATCAACCTAAATTCAATGTCTAGCCAAAGTCGGTTTTGTAACGTTGTTTCAACGTCCATATTTCGACATTAATCCAACGTTAAATGTTGGTTGAAATTGCGTCGCGATATTATTAACCAAAACTCAATGTCTATTCAACGTCGGTTTGGTAACGTTGTTCCAACGTACATATTTCGACATTAATCTAACGTTGGATAAATGTTAAAATTGCGTCGCGATATTAACAACCTAAAATTAACGTCTCTCTGACGTCGGTTTGGTAACGTTGTTCCAACGTACAGATTTCGACATTAATCTGACGTCGAATAAAAGTTTAAATTGCGTCACGATATTGACAACCGAAATTCCATGTCTATTCAACGTCAGTTTGGTAACGTTGTTCCAACGTACAGATTTCAACATTAATCTGACGTTGAATATGCGTTTAAATTGCGTCACGATATTAACAATGTTAAATTCAATGTCTATCAATCGTCAGTTTTGTAATTGTTCCAACGTATTTTGACATTATTCTGATGTTGGATAAATGCTTAAAATTGCGTCGTGATAACGACCTAAATGTACCAACGTCGGTTTGGTAAACTTTGTTTAACATACGGATTTTAATTAGTCCAAAGTTGAAAAAATGTCGAAATTAAGTGCGTCGCAATCAAACATATTGCATTGCTTTGAAATTGAGTATCCTCGCGGTTACTTCAACGTCAGTCCTGCTGTATCAATTAACGTATAATTTTAACTATCAAAGTGCAAAATATTATGTCAAGAAATATAAACAAAATAGCCGACTTAATTGAACTTTGTGGCCTTTTTTATGAAAACATATTATTTGTCAGCACGCCAAAGCTGTGACGCTAGCCAATCACACGGCGCGTAATTTGTTCTACATTCCAAGGTTGTGACGCTGGCCAATCAGTTTTCATGTACTCTCTTTGAATCACGATATGGCGCGCAAGCATATGACCGTTACATATTTCGACATCATACTGCAGTTGTGTGGACGTGTAGCGTGCAGCCGACATCATTTTACTCAAATAACAGGTAAGAATTTTGCCATCAAAATTCGTAGTTATTGTTATGATGTTGCTTAGACATACCTGACGTTTATTCGAAGCACTTACTTATTAATTGCAACCAATTTCTCCCCAAAACGATAAACAAATATTGACACATCACTGGGGTCGGGGACACTGGCATGCATGGTCACTGATGATACCGGCGTCCGGTACGTATGGGAACCAGGTCGACCGCATGCATCCCGGCACTCGGAACAGTGTATTGCTGAGCTGTACTAAAACGGGTTCAATGGGAAAGTAGTGAGAGAAATCCTGAGAAATAATCCTCCATTGGCGTTTTGAACTGTACAGTATAATGGACGTGTGACTTAAACTTTCCGAGACGATATTGTTACCATGAATAAATGTGGCTCAATTACTGGATTTCCTTTGTATTGAAAAGTTGTTTCTGAGGAAATAGAAATTGCATTTTTTTTCACTTGGTAGACCTTATGGACATGAAATGCATGATGATGAAATGTACTTAAGCCTACCTGGTTAAAAAAAATAATAACCAGGAAAAATATAATTCGATTTTCTGCACTGTAGAGTTTCAGTTTTCATGTAATTTTCAGGCTAAAAAGTAAAAATGGATCGTCCAAAAGTGATTGTAGAATGGAATGCAGTATATTTTCTCGAGGTCAATTACTGCCATACTGGATTTCTTCGTACAGCTACACAGCGGTGATAGGTCGTGGGTCATGTACATTATACCGTTTTACTTCCCCTGATTATTAAACCAGGTGGGTTATCTTCCATAGGGAATAGGCCTATCAAGTGGGGGATAAACACTCCCGATTTCGATTTCACATGTTGCTATCACCACCCCGGTGCTCTTGTACATGTACAAGTCACAAAACGGAGGAAGTTGCTGGGTAGTTCCTTGATCCTTTGTGTAAAACTAAAAGTTGCTGTGACAATAGTGAGAATGCATAACAAAAATTTCTGTATCAAAACTTTAGGTAAATGCAAGCATGGATAATTATACCGCTGTTTGTAGCCTGTGCTGTGAATGGTGCAATAACAAAATGGACTCACGGTGCAGGGAGTGAGTAATTACGTAAATGTATTGGCCTAAGT